ATTTTTACAATTGGAAATTAGGAAGTAAGCGCCAGTAATTAGCTGCTATAAAATTGTACCTTGTCTTTCTTTCTAAACATTTGTAATGCCTGAGGCCTTTCTTAAATCACTCAAGCATGACAATTTCTTTCAGCCACATTAACTTTCTGTTACAAGTGTTACTGAACTTGTTCAAGTATAATTTGCTTATGTTATGCCTTTTTACTTACCCACATGACTGGAGTACTTTTCTCTCCCCACAGTGACATTACTAAGCGCCTGGGTTACAGTGAAACATGCTAGGAATACAGATTATAGCTTTTATTTTTTGTTTTTGTGGGCTAGGAGCTGTTATTGCTGCTACTGCGTCTAATGAGTGGAAAGTCACTAGCCGAGCATCATCTGTTATCACTGCAACCTGGGTTTTCCAGGGCCTTTGGATGAACTGTGCAGGCAACGCACTGGGCGTTTTTCACTGCAGACCTCACCTAACTCTCTTCAAAGTAGAGGGTAAGTAAGCGTAATTTAACTGGAACATACGGAGAGCTATGTGTATCGCAAGATGTGAGCCTGAGGAGAAAAAGATTATTTTGGCTTGTACAGGAGATTATGATGAAAGCATTGTTATGAATGTGATTAAAGGATAGCGTAGGCTGAGTATCAGAAAGAACTTCCTGGGAACGATATGTATTCCAAGAAAAGAAAGTAATCTCTACTCTGTGGTTAGCAATATAAGATAAGTAAGCTGGACAAAGCTCCAGTAAATACACGATCAGTAACAAACCACTGTTAGCAGAGAGATGGACTGAACTGTCTAAAAGGTCTCTTCCAGCTCTAATTTCCATGTGAAAATAAGCATGCTGCTTGCTGGATGGGAAGAGGAGGAAAGACAGCAAGCTCTGCGTCAGCTATCAGAACCCTTTTAATATCTACGGAAATTAGATAGCAAAGCACTATGTCCAGGAATACTTCGCAAATACTCACATGTTGGAAATTAAGTGCTCGTGTGTATGTTTGCTATACCAGAGGCTAATGTTTTAACTTCAAGGATCGAAGGTGTGCTTTTTCAGAATATCTGCTTTGACAGAAAGAGTCATATTTGGAAGCCATCCGTCAAAGTGTAAAAACAAACAGGGGCTGCTTACCTTAAATCAGGAAAGAGTTTTCTCGGAGCCAGTGGCTAACTAAAAGTCTGCTCGAGAAAGTGTTTGCAATGCATACAAAGCAGTAAATGAAGAGGTTTGTTTTCTCTTTGCTGCTAAGCCTTGAGACACTAGGCAAGACAGTGTTTTCAGTGAGATTGTGGGTAACAGCGCTGCTTGGCTGCCACTAGCGTTTGCTTCCCGTGAGGGCAGGGGCAGAGGGACTGCTCTCCCCTGGACGTGGGTAGCACGTGAGTAAGATGGAGTCAGGCCTCAGTAGGAAACAACAGGTTAAGATACTGGTATTTTAGCGAATGAAAAACGAAATCCAGGCTGGAACCAGCTTTACAAAGCCTTTATGAGACCCGCAAGAAGCGCGATTATAAAACGCAAGCAGCCAGTGCCTGAACCAGATCTCAAACGTACAGCTGCACGGTTGTTACCGTATTATATAAACAGGGTGATGCACACGCGCATGCAGCACAGAGGCACCACACACTCACGGAGACAAGGAAATGTGGGGCTGTTACAAGCCCACACCTTTTCTCGCCTCTCACCGCCCTCCAGGTCCGACTGCGTGCTGGGACAGGCAGATCGACTCCCAGGCTTTTGGAAGAAGGAGAAAGTTTTGTTACTAACTTAGCGAGATGGGTATTTCTTTCATAATGGATACCTGAAGCTTAAATACACCGCAGAACCTATGTGCTTCACCTTCAGATTATTTATTCACTTTGACAATTAAAAAATAAAGCTGTTTGTCTAAATGCTGTTTTGACAGCTCTTGATCCTACTGCCACTGTGCAGCTTGATTTTCAGTAAAGGGCAAGAGAACTCTTACATGTATAGAGGATTTTGAGACAAAATTCAGAGAATCATTTTTCTACACATTTTATCATGCTCCCCTCCGAACCATTGCAAATCCCACGTGAGGGATCTGAATGGATAAGAATACGTTTACTTCCTTAAAGAATACTATTCATCAAAAATGAACTAAAAGGCATAGAAACTTAAACATGCTGTTTAAAAGCTAGTATTATTCCTTCGCAAATAACTGTTTATGCATTGTTTTTTCTGAGATTTAAAGAAAAAAGCAACTCTTCTTCTCAAGCATGTACAATCAAATCTGTTCAAAGCAATATAAAGTACTTTAGTAACTACAAACTTGCATTATTATTACTATTTTTTCTACAAAAGCTGCTTTCAGAATAATCAGCCATAATCAAATTGCCACTTATACTTTGTATTGTTACTGTTATTTTGGGCACTGATAGTCTGAAACTTGAATAAATGAAATACGTACATTATGAGTATGCATATATCCTTCAAATAATATACTTAAGCCTACTTAATATACTTAATCCTGGTAAGATTTTGCTTATCTGCTGTTTAGAATAACATAGACAAGAAACTCACAACAAATTAAAGTAATGATGTGCCCTTGTTAAAATGAGAGGGTGGCAAGTTGCTGAACTGACATTTAGGAAATCTAATTTTAACCTGTCACAGCAGGCACCAGCAAAGGGTACTGTTACATGTAGCATAAATACTATTTTAAAAGAGTGAGCTGTTTGGTTTGGAAAACCTACTAAACATAAATTCCTGCCAATCCGAAGGAAACAATAGTCCAGCAGAGAAAGGGCTTTGCACTCTGTCCTACATTGTAAAACAGTAAAGCATTCATATTAAAGAAGTAATAAACTCATATCTGTGCCTTCAGAGCTTAAATGTATCGTTATTATTGCATACCGACTGCAGGCTGGGACGGCAAAATAACTTTTTCTACCGCACATTTATGATTTTATGGACTCTATCTGCAATTTGTCCCTCAGCCAAAGATAACCCTGTTACACTGGCTCCTCACTGCATTCCTGTCTATCCATCCTTAGTTTTCCCCACAACAAGCGTTAGCAGTAAATAGCATGAGGCACTTCTGCTCCAAAGCAGGTTGATATGGTCATTGGTGTTTGGATTGCACTTTTGGGGGCTTTTGAGGGGGAGATTTCTACATAAGCTCTATCAAGTTTTAAGATTTTTTCTTTTTCCTATTTAAATCACATTAAACAAAACATAGACCTTGAAGGTCTGTCTTTGAGCAGGACTCTAGTGTGGTCATTGGCTGTGTTTATGTGCATACCAGAACTGACTGTCAGCTGGAGGACTGGTTGTGCTGGCAGCAGCACAGCCAAGGTGATGAGAGCTCAGCCTCTACAACATAGCCCATGTACAAATCTCGAGGAGTCAATATTTCTTGAGCTCCGGGTTAGCACAGCCACACTGCTAACCATACCAAAGTTAGCTGGACTGTGTCCATATATACATGTACATGCACATGCACGTGTAGAGCCACAGTGTAATCGGCCACAGTGACTGAAACATTCCAATGAAAGATACTGGAGGAGTACAAAATACTGACTGTAGCATGAGTAGTAAGTGTTGTCATAGTTATAATCATCTGAGGCAATGTTTGTGGGACAAGGCAGTATCCTTTATTAGAGAACTGATTTAGAGAGAAACAGGCAACAAAGTCATTTATCAGGTTTGACACAAATACAGCAAACCTCAAGCTAAATATTATCCGGGAACACTTTCTCTTCGGTTAATTATGGTAATCAATACACCCAAAATACTCATGAAATTGCACCTAGGCATAAACTCACACAATGAATAAATGATAGAAATCAAAATTAAGAGAGAATATTGTTTAACAAAACCACGAGCACATTACTGACCTCTCAGGCCTTATCAGTAAGAAAGACCCACAAAGTACCTTCTAAGGGTGAGCCTGGGAACTGAAGCTCACAACTCCTTTGGAGTCACGGCTGTCTTGGACTCCAGAAAGATACTGACTTTTTATGGCAGAGCACCTCTTGGTGACTCCTCAGTGCTCCACAGGCACGAGTCACCTCTCTTCTCCTTCCTCCTGCACCTATCACCCTGAATTCTAACAATCCCAGAATTCTTCCCTGACGAGAATTAGCTTTAGCTGTCTTAAATAGACACAGCTTAGATATTATACTTACTCAAGTATTCTCTTTGTGGTGGTGCTAAAAAGAGCTGCTTTCCTCACGTAAAATGCGGAACTCTAAGTCTAGCAAATTGAATTGTGTCCACATCCATTTCTTATGACACTTTCCTATTCCATCAAGGTGGCAACTAGCCCTAGGCCTGTTCAAATTGCGAGTTCAAAGTTTAGCACGCATTCCGCGTGGCACTGTGTTTCATGGCTCCTCTGCACTCTCCAGTTTTTCATGCCGTGCACTCAGGAAGATATATCAGAAACTAGAAGTGCTCTGCTTTGCGCCTGAGATCATCTGCTGGCCTCTTAGTTTTGCTAGTGCTTTTCTTAGTGGAGCCAAGTGGTGCGAGCATTGCTATCCTGATGTTAGCTGATACAGAAAGGATGATGCACGCGCATCGAGTCTTGTAGGCTGGTGGATTCAGACCTGCCATTTCATGAAGTGGTCATCATGATACAGCTAAGGGATGAAAGGAAGCTGAAAAAAGGCAACTCTTATTGCAGCAGCTGCACCTAGAGTAGCTTTGCTCAGCTGAACATCATTCAGGTTCAGCTGAGAAGGGGAGAGTGCTGCAGAGCCAGCATGGACAGCAAAGCTTGCACACAGCCTGGAGCAGGAAAAGACTAACTTGAGAGTTGCTTTCACTCAACAGAAACCTCCTCCCAGAGGAAAACACGCTATCCACAACTGAAAAACAGTGAAGCAGCCCGAGAGCCAAGGCTCAACCACCGCAGACGCGTCAGACACTTTGAGAAGGGCTCTGTGCTAAATCCCCCCGGCAATCAACCCCACTGCTTTGTGTTCAGGCTAAGGGGGGGGGTTGTGTGGGCTTTCCCTTCCGCTCCCTAAGGCTGCTTTGTTGGGGGCCGAGGAGCGCCCGCGGCCCCTTGCCCACCGCCCCCAGCCCAGCCCGGCTGCCTCTCTCCCTGGCGCTGGGAGGACCCGTGGGAGCAAGTACCGGGGAGATTTTTCTTGGGATCTGATGGCCAGCCACAGAGGACTCTGCTGTGAGATGTGCCAGACAAAGGGATAGAGTCACGGGAGTCCTGTTTTGAGGTTAGAGGAGAACTGGGTCTAAGAACTTTTCTGGAGCAAGCAAATCGTTCTAGGAAAAATGCTAATTGAAGGGAGGTGTTGGCTGGTTTGCGTTCAACAGACTGAATGACCCCTCAGTTAAGCTCTTCTGCCTAATGAGTACAATGTGCATTTGCTGATTTAGAAAACACAAAATTGAAACAGCACTGGCAAGGTTTCTTCAAAAAAAAAAAAACAAAAAAAGATGCATTATGGCTTAATTCCAAAGTGCTCTCCGATTCTCAGTAGGGAGAAAGGCCACTGTCTGGGTTGCCTG